CTGCAGCATGTAGGAGTGGGCAAGGAGTGTTTCAGATGAAAGATCAGAGCAGGGCAAGCTCAGGGCTGAATCTTGTTAAATGGAGATGAGTGGGTCAGCAAAAAAACTGGAATTAGTGTGGCTGAGTAGTCACTGGAGTGAAATAGGGAGAGCAGCTGTGCATCTCCACCTCTTGTGGTCTGTGGAGGCACACAGGTCACTGCTGTGTCTGAGTTCTTCGGGCACAAATGGGGGAATTCTCACTTGTGGCAGCGGTGGCTCTGAAGGCCACGGACACCGAGCTCTCTGTGTGTCACCCTCATCTCTGGCCTAGGAAGGAGCCTGAGTCACTGACTGGGACCTGCCAGAGCCCGTGGAAGGTACAGCCCTAATCCCGCTGTCCCAGACAGGGCACACCTGTGTCCCTGCAGAGCTGGGCACCTGTCTGGCCCTTGCTGTGACAAGTGTGACCACAGGCTGTGTGCCAGCAGCAGGAGCAGGCAGGGCGGCCACGCTGCTCCAAGGAAAACAGAGCCCTGCCTTTGCTTTCCATTACACAGCCCTCCGAGGGAAGGGATGTGTTTGGGTGCTCTCCCGCCCCTTCTCATCTCTGTAAACAACAAAGCACCACAAAGGGCGCAGAGCAGGGCGGAAGGCTGCAATTTTAACAACCTGCAGAAGCTCAGGCCCTGAGGTTTCACCCACGCTGGCTATTTGCAGCTCCTGAGGGGGAGTTCAGAGACACCGTGGCCTTTGTTGTGCCCGTGTTTCCACAGCTGCTCTGGGGCCACGGGGATGCAGCCAAGGATCATGGAGTCACAGGATGGTCTGGGTTGGAAGGGGCCTTAAAACTCCTCCTGTCTCATCCCTGCCATGGCAGGGATACCTTCCACTGTCCCAGGCTGCCCCCAGCCCCAGTGTCCAACCCAGCCCTGGACACTTCCAGGGATGGGGCAGCCCCAGCTGCTCTGCTGTGATGCTTGTGATAATCAAGACAGAAAGATGCCCTGGGTTGTCTAAAAAAACCCCACACTAAACCAAAAGTTTTGTGACCAGCAGGCAGAGTGTGGGGATCAGCAGTTGCTGTGCCCCCTGCCCAGCTGGCAGTGCCACAACCAGGACCCCAGTGGGGTTTTACCTTTTCCTCACTCTTGAGCTGCACATTCAGCCCTGCACTGGGATCCCTGGGCTGTCAGTGAGCATCCCCTGTGGTTTGGGGAGGATCACATCCCCAGCAGGGTAGGTGTGAGCTCCACAATCCCCATTTGCAGTCTGGCAGCCACTAACTCTTCCCATCAAGTGGGAGCTTCTGTGAACACCCTGCAGCAATGGGAATCCTGAGGAAGGGGAAGGGAGGGTGTTTTAATTGGTGTTAAATACTTGTGCTTTCTGTCCAAGATTTGAACTTCGGTAGAGAGTCAAGTATAAAGGAAAGATCCGAGCTCAAGGCTGACACCCAGGCCTAAATTAAGAGCCAGGAGCAAGGACAGACTTTGTGAGCAGCAGAGGGCCGTGAGTCATGGATGAACTGTGTGTCCAGACTGCTGTGGGCAGTGGGCAAATCCTTGGGAGGATGGCTCAGGGCAGACAACACCACTCCCAAAAGGAGTCTGAAGGGGACAGAAGGGTTTTAGATGCCATGCTGTGAGTCAGTGGTACCTGGGCACAGCAGCCAGCCTGGCTCCCACAGCCTGGGAAAGCTTTCCTGCCCTGTCCTCAGGGACTGCTGCCAGCTTTGATGCTGTGGGCTTGGGAATCTGCCTGTGGGATCCCAGCTTGGTCCTTTCCCCAGCAGCCCTCTCAGTCTGGTGCTTTCCCTGGGCAAGGGACAGAGTCTGGGGTAGGGAAAGCACAAACAGAAGGGGAAAGGGTCCTTCTGAGCTCACTCTAAGGGGATTCTTCTGAGCTCACTCTAACGGGGTTCTTCTGAGCTCACTCCTGAGTTCAGACCCAGCAGAATGGGGTTTGTTACCTAATTAAAACACAGGTCAGGCTTTAAGCTGGACCATGGGTGCATGTTAATGATGCTGTGCTGGGGTTAGTAGAACTTTATTTAGCACTGGATGTGTATTAGCTGTTCTTGAAGGGAATTCCTAAATATTGACCTTGGCACTGTGAGGGTCTGTCTCAGCCTTTCTCTGCCACCTTCGCCAGAAGGAAATGAAGCACTTTTGTTATTCAAGGTTTTAGAGGGAAAAGCAGGAGCTGTGGCAGACAGTTTTGTCCCTGCAGGTGCCAGGTGCAGACTGTCTCTGCCTCCTCAGGGCTGGAGGCCAGAGCTGCCTGCAATCCAGGCACGAGTGCCCATCCCTTGGTGGGCAGTGCCACCAGCCCTGTTAAACACTGGCAGATTTTGGGAATATAAACCCTGCAAGTCACTGATTGCTGCTGCAGCTGCTCTGCATGGCCCTGGCCTCTGCTTTGGTTCTCTAACAGCTTTAAAGCAACAGATTCTGGTGTTGGAAACAAGGGAAGAAACAGGAACTGAACACTGAGTCAGGCACCTTTCAAACACGGGGGAGAGGGAGGATTCCTGCACCCAGCAGAGACCATGACAGGGCCATTGTCTCTCCCTGAACCGGTATTAAACAAATCCTTCTGCAAAGAGATTTCTAATGTGAGGTTTCTCTTTGAAAGACAGGCCCAGCCAGACCCAACCCCCAGGATAATCCCCAACAGATTTGCACTGACAGCCAATCTACACAGGATTCCTAAAAATGCCCCAGCCATGAGTCAGTGCCTGCTGTGCCCAGGAGGGAGAAGTGCTGGTACCCAGGGGCAGCCTGGGAGCTCAGGGCAGCCTTTACCTCCCGGGAATATACATTTATTTCCAGGGAATATTTACTAAAAGGGTTTGTAAGATACAGTGCAAGTGCTAATGTGCTTTGAGGCCAATAAAGAAGGGGCAAAAAAAAAAAAAAAGGAGATGGAATAAGCAAGAAAGACTGAAAGAGAAATGGAGGCTAAAGGTGAGAAGGAGGAGTCACAAGGAATTGGAATCACAAGGTTGGGGAGGAAAAAAAGTAAAGGCCGAGGAGTGCAAGAGAAAAAAACATTGATCAGAAATAAAAACAAGGACAGAAAAAATAGAGGCTGCAAAAGGGTAGAGGGCCAAGAAAGTGTGGGAGGGGGGAAGAAATGCAGAGGCTGAAAAGGGCAGGAGGCCAAAATAAAGTGGGAGGCCAAAAGAAAAGTAGAGACAAAATAGTGGAGGGTGAAAAGGGGTGGGAGGCTGAAGAGGCACATGAGACATACGGGAAGGCCTGCCCAAAGAGGGGTCTAAAGTTTAATGGGTTCCTCAGGCAGGATGGGCTCCCTGGTGATAAGGCAGCACAATGTCCAATTGTTCTCCCTGCACACCGGGTCAGCCCAGCTTCCTCCTGCCTGGGCTCTGCAGGAACACACACTTGGGTTTGGGCTGGACAGAGCTGGGCTCTGCAGGAACACACACTTGGGTTTGGGCCGGACAGAGCTGGGCTCTGCAGGAACACACACTTGGGTTTGGGCTGGACAGAGCTGGGCTCTGCAGGAACACACACTTGGGTTTGGGCTGGACAGAGCTGGGCTCTGCAGGAACACACACTTGGGTTTGGGCTGGACAGAGCTGGGCTCTGCAGGAACACACACTTGGGTTTGGGCTGGACAGAGCTGGGCTCTGCCCAGGCTCCAGCCAGACCCAGAGCTCTGCAAGCCCTCTGGATAAACTTTCCTCCAGCTCCACCCAGCCCAGGGGATCAACTCTTCCTCCTGAGCTCCCTAAATGACTTTGGCCTTCCTCCCACTGCTGAGACCTTGATCTTCCTCCCAGCTGAGGCAGCTCCTGATGCAGCTGGCTCTGGCTCCTTGCCCTTACTCCCAGCCAGCTGAGCCAAATGGAGCCCAGGACCCCGGCACGGTGGGGACAGGGACAGGAGCTGCTGCTGTCAGGGGGACAGGGACAGGAGCTGCTGCTGCCCTGTCAGGGGTTTTGCCTTTGCTCCTGAAGGAGCCAGGAGGCTGCAGGTGCTGGCAAGGGAAGGGGGCAGTGGGGACATGTGGCCCCAGAGTCTCAGCCTGACACCTGCACCCCCAGCCGGGGAGATTCCAGCCTGCAGAAATTTGTGTTTGGCTGAGAGCAGCTCAGAGCTCAGACCATGCTGGTGATGAGGAGTTTTGGCTGTCAGGCCCATCAGGATAATCCTGGTGGTGTTATTTCAGCCATAAATCATAGAATCAGCACAGAATGGTTTGGATTGGAAGGGACCCTAAAGCCCATCCAATTCCATCCCCTGCCATGGCAGGGACACCTTCCACCATCCCAGGTTGCTTCATCCCCTGTCCAGCCTGGCCTGGGGCACTGCCAGGGATGGGGATCCCTAATCATACCTAACTGCCCAGAGAAGCTGTGGCTTCCCCAAACCATCCTAGAGTTCTGTGATTTATTTGTTTTGCATCAAAAATGAACCATTTATAGTGCTGTGTCACTGCAACAATTTTCCTTTCTGTTTGTTGTTCTGTCTGATTGGGGTTTTTTTTAGTTTGTTTGGTTTGTTTTTTATTTTTTTTTAATTGTCCAAATATTGTGTTTTGCCATTTTAAATATTTGGGTTTTAGTATATTTCTATTCAAATTCTGATCCGGGCTTCTGCTTCTACCCGGAGCTTCAGGTGAATCTGCAGTAATTTGGAGATTGCCATTTGGAATGATGCTGCCATCACTGAGCCACTCCTCCCTCCCAGGATTTGGGGGCACCTGCAGGGTTTTGGGAGGGTTTGTCCCAGCTGGGGGGAGCATCACGCCTGCCCCCCAAAGCTGTCCCTGGGGAAGGGACCTGCTGCCTCACACATCCCAGCCCGACCCTGCCCGTCGGAGCCTCCCCGTGCCCGGAGTGCCTCCCCTGGGCATCCACGGGCATCCCGGGGGATGCCGGAGCCTCCGGCGGCAATCCGTGCCCTGGGCTGTGTCTGAGCATCCCGCGGGGCTCCGTGGGGCCCTCAGGGGGGCTCAGCCCCCGGTCCCGCCGCCCCCCGCCCCGCACCTACCGGCGGCTGCGCGGCGCTCCCGGCGGCGGCTCCCGAGTGCGCGGGGAGAGCCGGGCTGGAACGGAGCGAGCGGGGACGGTGAGGATGAGGAGGAGCTGCCTCGGGGCGGGGGAGCGGCGGGAGGATGCGGGGGGAGGGAAGGGGAGGCCGAGCGCATCCACCCGCAGCGGGGCCGGGCACCTGCCGCACTGCCAGCCCCGGGCGGCGCGGGGGGCGGCGGCTGCGGGAGCGGGAGGGCCCCAGGAGCGGGCAAAGCCCCGCAGCCGGAGCAGCACCGGCCTCCCTGTCCCTCGCGTTTCCCTTCCCTGCGGCCGGGACATTCCTGCGGCGCTGGGTGTCTCAGTGCCCTCCGGGAAGGCGATGACCCCTGATCCCAGCCAGCCCCGGGCAGCGGGGACGGGTGTCTGCCCTCCCCTTGGGGGTTCCTGCCATCCCTACGGGGGTCTCTGCCATTCCTAGGGGGGTCCCTGCCATCCCCATGGGGGGTGTCTGCCATTCCTAGGGGGGGTCCCTGCCATCCCCATGGGGGTCCCTGCCATCCCTAGGGTGGTCTCTGCCATTCCTAGCGGGGTCCCTGCCATCCCCTTGGGGGTCCCTGCCCTCCCCGGGGGCAGCTGCCGAGAAGGGCCCGGGGCAGCCACGGGGCTATGCCGGGCACGGCTGCGTTCCGCTGGCACCGGCAGAGCTTGGCCTTAAAAGCCGAAGTGTTCGGGAGCGCTGTCAGGCGGATGAAATGCAGCTCCGTGTCCCCGGGGACGGCGCTGGAGCCTGGGGGCCGTGCTGGCCCTGCCCTTGCTGGGGGCCACGGGTGGGCTCGGGGGGTACCGGGGCGGGCTCGGGGCTCGGGGGGTGCCAGGGTGGGCTCGGGGGGTGCCAGGGGTGATCTCGGGGCTCACGGGGTGGGTGCAGGTTGGGGTGCGGCTGTGCGGGGTGCGAGGTCGCTGCCGCAGCGCTAATGAAGCTCTAATGAAGCACTAATGAAGCACTGGCGGAGCCCGAGCGATGATTTCAGCGCATGGCCGGGCTCCACGAGCCCTTTGATGCGGTGATGTTTAGGCTGCGTTATCTAAAGCTCGCTCAGAATAGGCTTTCAGTCGCGGCTCACGTGGAGCCAGCGTGTTTGGACAGGCATTCCGGGCTGGAAATGCCCGCAGCCCAGACGTTTGGATAAAACATTCCCGAGCTGACCGTGGTTACCAGCGCCTGCTGGGGACAGCTCCGAGCGCTCCCCACAGCGCAGGTGCATTCCGAGCTTTCCGGACATAGCAATATACTTTTTTTCTCCCCCTTTATTTTTAATAATCCCGCCCAAGATTTCACCTTGTTTTTTCAGAAAATAAAAAATAGGCATAACCAAACATTCCTGAATCTGACAGAGGAGCAGGCCTGGCTTTGCCTCAGGCTCTCCTGGACTAAAGGCATGGGGCTTTTGAGGACGTGGGGAAGATTAGGAAATGCTGGTCCATTTTCTCACTGAAGGGAACATCCCCCTTGTTTCGGAGCTGCCGGGGCTGCCCCCTCCCCACTTGCCCGGCTGCCCCTGCCCCTGGTCGTGGCCGGCACTCAGCAGCCCCGGTGCGGTGCTTTGCAGGCGGTGTCCTGCCAAATTTGTGTCCTTTCTGCCTGTGCCGAAGGCTGAAGGTCCCGGGATGGAGCCAAGAGCCGGAGCGACGCAGACACAGAGCAAACATGGACTTGGGCAGCGGGATCTGCGCCGGGCACGAGGGAGAGGAGGCTCGGCCAAAACCCGGGCAGCGACCGTGCTGCAGTGACCCCGGGCCCTGCCCCGAGAGCCGGAGGGATGGGGACAGAATGGAAATGGGGAACACTGCAGGGGTGGGGACAGAATGGAAATGGGGAACACTGCAGGGATGGGGACAGAATGGAAATGGGGAACACTGCAGGGGTGGGGGCACTGCAGGGATGGAATCAATACAGGGATGGGGACACTGCAGGGCTGGGGACAGAATGGAAATGGGGAACACTGCAGGGGTGGGGACAGAATGGAAATGGGGAACACTGCAGGGGTGGGGGCACTGCAGGGATGGGATCAATACAGGGATGGGGACCCTGCCTCGGCAGCAGCTCTGGCTCCCCCCTGCCCTCCCCTGGCCAGCCCTGCCTGGGCAGTGCCAGCAGCACCTGCAGCAGGGGCCTGTGCTGTTTCTCAGGCTCTCGGGATGGGTTTGGTGGGTGCTGCTGCTGCAGTTCCTCTCCTGTCCCTGCCTGTGGTCAGGAACCTGCTCACCTCACACCCACCCTGGGCTCCGAGCCCCACCAGTGCCAGCTCCCGGGCCTGTTGGGCAGCACAGTGAATCTTTAACCACGGAGCCCCGAGGAAGCTGCAGGTGCTCCCCTGCCTGTGAGGGCAGCTGAGCCTGTGAGGGCAGCTGAGCCCCAGCCCCGCTGTCCTGGCGCCTCCTCATCCCCCAGACCACGGCCCCACAGCAGAGACGACTTAAACAAAACTTCCTGAGCATTTAGAGTGAGACCCTCGAGATCCTCCAGTCCTGCTTTGGTTCCATCCCTCCTGTGATGATCCTGGGAGCGCTCGGCGGGCACGGCTAAGCCCAGAACGAGCTGGAACAGCAGCGAGGTGCAGAGCCCCGTCCTGCTCCTGCCAGCCCCCAGAGCCGGGCCAGAGGAAAGGAGACCCAGCTGCTCCTCAGCGCCACACACGTGGAGCTGCTGAGCTCGGCCAGGAGCTCAGGAACCAGGAACGCGCCGCAGACCCTGTGGGAAAGCGCCGCAAAGCCCCCGGGGATGTGGGGAGTGCAGGATGCTGGAGGAGGCACTCACCTGAGCAGGCCCGAGGTGCGCAGGGCTGGGCGCTGGGAGGCAGCGGGGCGGGCAGGGATGTGCGGGGGTCACCCTGGCCCTCGCTCCACCTCCCGGAGCCTGGCAGGGGCACAGCCCGGCCCCTGCAGCACCCGCGGTGCCCCCGAGCCGGGCAGGGCCCGCTGGCACCGGGAAGGCACCGGGAAGGCGCCGGTCCCGGCCGGAGCGGAGCGGCCCCGGGGCTGGCGCTGCCGCCGCGGCTCCGCACCCGCGCAGGACGAGGAAGTATGGATGGATAATCCTGCGCCTTGCTATTTTTTTCCTCTCATGTGATCTTGTTTTTGGACGGCTATTTTGGGGCTGGACTCCAGCCCAGGTGAAAGACAAGGATTGAATCCAGCCTCCCCCTTCCCGGAGGCCCTCCCAGGACCTCTGCCCGCCCGCGGGGACAAGCCCTGCCACCAGCTCTGCCACCATCCCTGCCCGCTGCAGAGCCCTTTCTGTCCCCTCGTGCCCTGGACAGCACACGGAGGGCTGATGGAGCCCGGCTGTGCCGAGCGCACCGGCCCGGCCACCCCGGCCCGGCCACCCCGGCCACCCCGCCCCGCGACATCCCCAGGGCTGGCACCGCCACCGGCACCGGCCCGGCCGCGGACCTGAAGTGTCCCAGCAGCGTTTGCCTCTTGGTGCCCGTTTCCCGCAGCCCAGCCTGGCAGGAAGCTGGCGGGAGATAAATGTATTAAAAATATGCTCGGAGCGTGCAGCAGCGGCCATCAGCCCCCGGTGCCACCAGTGCCGGCAGGAGAGGCACAGGAGGGGACAGCGCAGGACAGGCACAGGAGGGGACAGCGCAGGACAGGCACAGGAGGGGACAGCGCAGGAGAGGGACAGGAGGGGACAAGGGGGGCTCTGCGGGCCCCTCCACTCCGTGTGCAGCATCCCGATCCTGTGGGCATCCTGCCCTGCCTGCCCCTATGAGGACATCCTCGGGGACATCTTGGTGCCACACGCTCAGCGCTGTCAGGATGGACATTTTTATCCTATTTGTGCCTTTCGAGCCTGTGAATGAAAGCTGCCGGGGCCCAGTGGGGCACTGGGGGTGCAGGTGTGGGGCAGAGCACGGATGGCAGGGATGTGACATCCATGGAGCTGGCTGTCCCCCCGTGCACGCGTCACTGCGGGCACACCGTGTCCTTCCGCGGCGGGTGGTGGGAGGAGTGGGTGCCTAAATTGAGTCTTTGCATGACTAAAACTCGTTAAAGGTCCCCGTGATGAGTCCCAGGGAAATTCAGATCTGGGAGAAGCTGGTTTGGCACTGACTGCACAGCACCAGGGACAGGTGAAGGACAGGACCCACCACGTGAGGCTTCAGTCAGAGGTGGGTGAGATTTGGGTTACAGAGAAATGGGTCATTCCAGAGCTGTGCTAAGGATGTGAAAAATTCAGGTCCAAAAATTAGATGTCACTTATTTTTTCAGCCTATTTCCGAGTCTTTATTTTTTTAAAAAATATTTTATATATTAAGTTTATGACAAATATATTAAATGTAGATTAAAAATGTAAAACTATTAAATTGTATTATTTGTATTAAATACTTATTTAATTGTTTTCTTATTCCTGCTTCCCATTAAGTTTTATGTGAAATAAGGAATTGATCTCTGACACTTACCAAGTGCTCTCTTTTTGGGGGGGCCTCTCACCAGGGCCAAAGCTTTCCTCTTGCAGTCTCTCCAAATTAGGGTGTTTATCCTAACAAGGTGAGTTTTGGTGACCAGAAACTCCTACGAAGCCACTTTTCCCTTCAACAATCTTTGAAGAGCGAAGAGGGGGAAAGTCACTTTATAAAGGTAACAGAGGTTTTAATGAAGGAAAAGGTGAATAAAATGAGCTGGGAACACCCCGCGGCAGGGAGAGGGAGGCGCAGGGAGGCTCCGGGGCCGCCAGAGGGCACCGCGGAACCGCAGCAGCGCAGCTGGGCACAGCTGGATGGGGGCGGGCACAGCTGGATGGGGGGCGGGCACAGCTGGATGGGGGCGGGCAGAGATTGATGAGAATGGGCACAGCTCAGGCACAGCTGGATGGGGCGGGCACAGCTGGATGGGGACGGGCAGAGATTGATGAGGACGGGCACAGCTCGGGCACAGCTGGATGGGATGGGCACAGCTGGATGGAGCGGGCAGAGATTGATGAGGACGGGCACAGCTCGGGCACAGCTGGATGGGATGGGCACAGCTGGATGGAGCGGGCAGAGATTGATGAGGACGGGCACAA